AGAAATGAATTCTTTCAATTAGGGAGGGGAAAAATATTCCTCATGGCTCTAAGCCGGTCTGGCTGTGCTCGCTGCGCACTGTTGGCTCGCTTCTGAGATGCAAACCGAGCGCCTGATAAATGGGAATGATTTGAATATCCTGAAAAGACTCAGCCCAGGGCCAGCTCCTGCATGGGAAGGATAAGGCTGGCCAGCTTTCTGAGCTTTCTGCCTCTGCTTTCAGTGGCAAAGTCAGGGAGCCAAGGAGGGTCCTGGAGGGCAGCTTGTTCCTCTCCCCTCACGCACTATGTCCTGGCCCTCCTAGGCCACAGGAAAGGAAGCTGTCTTAGTGGAGAATAGCCCTCTAACCGCTTCTTCACATGGAGTGGTGGCAGGAAAGGATGGTAAGTAGGAGGCAAGGGATGTACTTTGTAAGAAGCTTGATGTAGCTTATTGCAAAATTTGAGGGGGGGAATGAGTGGAACTTAGGAATGTCTAAGCTCCTTGGTGTAGACATACATGCGTATACACACAGGCCCACCTGTGTAACGATATGTCCCATATCATCCATACACACATATTAACACACATACATATCCATATAGGATTTCATAGGATTTAGAGCTAGGGAGAGCCTTAAAGTTTATCTTATCCAATGCTCTCATTTTACAGTGGAGTAAAGAGAATTAGAGAATGAAAGTGACTTGCCCAGGGTTGCACAAGTAGGGAGCAGCCTACCTGCACCCTGCTACCTACCAGGTCCTCTGACTGCAAAATCATTGCTCTTTTCACTATACACAATGGGTCTTATAAACAACCCCCCACTTATATACAGGTGCTCTGAAAGCACGCTCACTCATACACACATTTACATACATATATATGAACACAAGAGAAACATACACCCCCAAGCTTGAACTCACAAGCATAGTACCTAGACATACAAATACACATATACATACACTGTTGTCCATATTTCACATACAAATACACAGGTGTATACATGCATACACATGCAAATCCATACCTACATGGTCATGTACTAGCAAAGTACACATGCTTTCAAACATTCTTGTCCAGACACACCAACTATTTCACAGGTATACATAGACACATACCCCTCCTTTTTCCTCTCTTTCCTGGAAGGCAGGACCAGCTTAGTCTATAATTGTTGTAGGTAGCTTATTATTATTGTTCAGTCCTTTTCAGTCGTGTCCTACTCTTCTTGACCCCATTTGAGGTTTTCTTGGCAGAGATACAGGAGTGGTTTGCCATTTCCTTCTCCAGCTCATTTTGCAAATAAGGAAACTGAGGCAAAGTTAAGTGACTTGCCCAGGGTCACACAGCTAGCAAGTGTCTGAGGCCAGATTTGAACTCAGGAAGATGAGTCTTCCTGACTCCAGGTCCTGCATTATGTGCACTGCACCGCCTAGATGCCTACGTAGTATTACATGGAGTGAGCCTGATAGGCCCCTCCCATCCCAATATATCTCATATGTCCCCTTGTCTTGGCCTCTGAAATAGCACCATCCTAGGGGGTAAGCACTGATATTTCCAACCTTATCTTTAGAAATATGAATCTCACTGTCTTTCAGTCCACAGCTACTCAGTGTGAATATACTAAATAGAAGAGATTGCTATGGGCTTGTGTTTTAGACATAGCTCTGAATTTGGAATCAGAGGACCAGGGTTCAAATCCTCACTCTGCTACTTAATTCCTATGTGACCTTGGACAGTTCACTAACCATTGGACTGATATTTCCTATAAAATGTACAAGGTTGGACTAGATAATCTCTAAGGAAAATTCCAGTTTTACATCATACAACCCTATAGTGTTGTGAGAGAACCCTTCCTGGAGGAGGCATATTTTTGATCCTGTGGTAAACAAAGGGAAAGCTCATGGATTTATAAAGCAGATAGAAGGAAGTTCAAGTTAGAACCATGTGGAATGGACTTTGCAAAGGCATCTCCAAACTGATCTAAGAAACACAGAACATCAGACTGATGCTTCTTTCTTCTTCCTCCTCCTCCTCCTCCTCCTCTTTCTCTTCTTAGGCTCAGGGGTCTCTCTAGTAATTCAATTACATTGAACCATTAATTAAATACTTACTTCGTGCCAGGTCCTGTGGTAGGCGAAGGGATTGCAGAGACAAACAACTTTTCCTCGAATGTGTTTCCTGAGAACATCTTCAGATTCTTATTGGGCTCCGCCAGCATGCGTTGTACAGAGGTACTTGAAGCTGGAGCCTCAGATGTCGGTAGAACCGACAGCCAGATGACACAATTGAGGGGAAGGGTGGAAAGACACCCCAGGGAGAGGAGGGCGACTGCATAAGGGAAGACGTCAGAGAGGCCTCTGACCGCTATTCATTTTCCTCCCCGGGTGTCTCCATCAATAACCATCTATGAAGTGGATGGGGGAGGGTAGATGCTGCCAGGCATGATCATCAGGGATCAGTGGTGGGGAATAGGAGCAAGAGAGATTCTGCTCCAGGCTGGCCTGGCTCATTTCAGGAGGATAGGGCCACACGAAAGGGAGAAGGAGGGAAGGGGGGCCTAGGAGGCAGCACACCTATATGAAACAAATGGAAAGTATTTGTCTTCTGTGCCCTCCACCAAACCTCTGTTTTCTCTCCCTTCTCTCCATGTCTGTCTTTTTCCCCCTGTTTTTTGTCTTTTCCTCCTTCTCTATTTCCTTCCCCTCTTCCCTATGTTATTCTCCACACTTCTTTCACTTTCCCCCTCTACTTCTTTCTATCTCTTCCATTGTCCCATCTCTTTGTCTCTACTATCTTCCTCATCTATTTCATCTCTTGTCCCTGTTTCTCTCTAATCTCTCCTTTTTCTCTGTCTCTGTTTTTTTCTCTCCTCCAACTCCTCTCTCTCTTTCTCTTTTTGTTTCTGTCTGTCTACCTCTGTCTATCTCTCTGTCTTTCTCTTTCTCCCTCCCTTCCTCCCTCCCACTCTCTCTTCCTCTTTAGGGAAGGCAACAATGAGATTTGATGATGAGAAAAGGTTTAAATTTAATTAAATTTAGCCAGCCTTTGCTGAGTGTTTTCCACGAGCTGATCCCTGTCCTAGGTGCTATTGGGGGAACATAACAGAAATGGTTCTTGAGGAGCACATGGTTTCTCTGTAGAGACAAGATTCATACACATTAAAGAAGTAGACATAGGACAATGTGTGATCAAGGGCTGGATCATATGCTTCATGTTCTAAGTGCTGTATGAGTTCAGAGAAGGGGAACTCAGAACAAAGGATCATAGAAACACAGATTTAGAGCTAGAAAGTACCTTAGAGATAGTCTAATCCAAAAGCTTCATTTTACAGATAAGGAAACTGAAGTCCATAGAGATTAAATAATCTTCACAAAGTCATGTAGGTAGTAAGCAGGTAAGTAAAGCAGTAATTCAGATTCCCGACTCCAAATAGGGTGTTCTTTTAACACCAGGTTGCTAGAGAAGACTTTCTCGAGGTGGGCCTTGAAGGATGGGTAGGATTTAGCTAAAATGAGACAATATGCTTCAGGTGAGGAGAAAACTTAATCACAGAGAGCTGAATTATATGCTCAGAGGAAAACAAGGCAGTCAGCCCAGCAGGAACACATGGTATAGCTCCCTGAGATATATGTCTTAAGAGCTCTGACCTTGTTCCTGATATTGAAAATTTTTGCTCACTGGCAGACCTATACATGTGGGCATCATCATCTAGCCAAATTCAACTTTTCTCAGAATTACCCTAGCCAGGGCCTGGTCTATTTAGCAAACAAGTAGTTAACCACATATGCAGGGTTCTAGGAAGCTGTTCTTACTTATCCCTCTTTGCTCTGTCACAATGACTAAAATTATACAATTAGAGAGTCAGGGAACCATTCTTTTGGGTTAAGGCTTTGTTCCCAGTTAAAGGGCAAACATGCCTTGAAAGAATAACTATTAAGTCACTAACATTTGAGTATAAATGGGTTTATCAGATTATTTTGCTCTCTATTAAGAACAGCTTGGAAACTAGATGTCTGGACAGGAGAAGGAACAAGAAGGAAGGTGGGAGAAAGGACATAGAGGTGGGGACCAGAAAGAAGAGACAAAATGTCTAACCACCAGGCAAGCCTTGCTACCAAGTCCTCTCCTCTCTTCCTTATGGGAAGCAGAGATGGGCGTCCATGGAGACATTGTCATTCTATGTCACCGCAAGAGGGCGCTGCTGCTCTCACCTCGTGATCAGAGTGAACCCAGTGGTGAAAGAGATCTCTGGACTCAGGAACTGAACTCAGTAAATCTAGTGTGGATGTCTGCGTGTGAAATCTTGTGTGTGTACATGCAGGCAAGCATGGGTGCGTCTGTCAGCACATCTGTGGGTACAAATAGGAGTACACATTCTGAGGGGCTAGGGAATGGGCAGAGGCTAAGTCCTTTAAGCATATAGATTGCAGCAGCAGCTTTTACCAAGGAAGGAGAGAGACAAAGGCAGAAAAGTGAGACTTTCAAGAGGAAGAATAAGTACAGGGAGAGGGGTAAGAGGAGAAATGTAGGAAGAGAAAAGTTGGAGAAGAGATTTAAAGAGAATGAAGAGGGATAAAGGACACAGAGAGATGGGAGACAGTGAAGAAAGAGATACAAGGCTGAGAAATAAATGAGGAAAGGGATGAGATCTGAGGAAAGAATTAGGAAAAGGGGGAAAGAGAAAAGGAGAGAGGTAAGAGATAGTGGAGAAAGAGGCTATGAGATAGTGAGAGAGATAGGGAAACTTGGGGGAACATTGAGAAAGATGATGATAGAGAGAAAGTGAAAGGATAGATGGAGGGAGAAGAGAGAGACTGCAGTGGTGAGATGGGGAAAGAGAATAGGGGTCAGAGAGAAGAGAAAAATAGAGAGAGAAGAGAGATCCATAGAGGAGATGAGGAAGAAAGTTCAGGTGACTGCCTTGAGCTCCCTGGCAGAAAGACCCAGCCTTCATATAGCCTATTGTCCAATCCTCTGGGCCAGCTGCCATTACTGACCTTTTCCTCCCTTTCTTTTCCCAGGCTGTGCCTTCCTCACATACTGCGAGCGGGAATCAGCCCTGAAGGCCCAGAGTGCACTGCACGAACAGAAGACATTGCCCGGGGTGAGTCCAGCCTCTGAATCACCAACTTGGGTTTTCTGCTACTTCCCTTAGGAGTTGGGGAGGGAAAAGGGACAGTGGGTATGCGCAGATACCTAAGACTATGGACTCAAGTTAGCATTGCTGACATGTTGGTCCTTTCTCATAGCTGTTGGTGGAAAGCAGACAAGAGGCGAGACCAGAGCTGAGGATGTGACATCCTAATGTATTCAATTTCCCTTCCCTGAGCAAAGGATGGTGGCAGTACTGGGGACACGTTTTCAACTTCTTCCCAAGATATAAACCTGTTCCACATGATCAAACCTTATCTAACACACAGGCCGATGGTACAAACAGGAAGACTTGTGAGATAGGACAGAATGGAGGGGTGAGAGCAGATGAAAGTAAAATGAACCAGTGGAGTTTCACCCAAAACTAAGAATAGGTGCTTTGTTATTCAGGAAGACTTGGGGTATGAGATGGGGAGAGTGGCCTTGGAAGAACAGACATCTCTGCTTACAACTCTGTCTGTCCTTCCCACTTTCCATACTCCTGAAGTCTCTGGGTTGACGATAGCTGTCAGGAAATGTAAGCTGTCACCCTAACCAGATCTGGTAGAGGTGAGGCTTTGCATTGCCCACAGATGCAGCCCCCACTCCCACCACTGCCTGGTGACAGCTCTGTTCTAATCAGTCGTCAGCTACCAGTAGACTTCATGGAGCCATGGGATAGCATGGAGCGCCTGTTTTCTTGTGGCCTTGAAAGAATCACATATATGCTTCCTCCTTCTACTCCTTCTCAGCTCTGACTTCAGAGAAGTGAGAGGCAAGAAAGACAAAAGTTTCATCTGTCGATGAGGCTCGAGGTCTAATGGGGGAAGAAAACTCTTAACACAAGGGAGCCTAAAGCCCAGTGGCTTTTTAATGAAATTGGCCTCTTCAAAGGCCAGCCAAGAAGAGGTTTCCTTGATCCCGGGGCAGACACCAAACATGCTCCATGCTCCGAGCTCCTTTGCAGGGGTGTGAGATCACCCAGGTTATTTAAGGAGCCAGGCGCTGTCTTTGATAAACTATTGTGCCCTGATCCTGTTTTATAGCTTCTCTGAGTGGAAGGAGGAAATTATTTATGGCCCCCCTAACTGGGTGTGATATCAGCCACTGCTATTATCTGAGCGAGTTCATCATCATAAAATAAGAAGCATTCTTCAGGTCAAGGGTCCAAGTTTTCTCTCTGAGTGCTCAGTGACAGATACATACATATATATATATATATATATATATATATATATATATATATATATATATATATATATATATATATAGTTCTCTCTGTATCTAAGACTCGATGGATAGGTGTGTATGCAGTCACCTATATCTAATGTATATATGACATGTACATATGTCTAATATATGCCACCATGAGGCATACATGTGCTACATGTGCTACATGTATGAGGGCATGTGTATGGTTCTATGAATAGCTTAAACACAAAGAGGTGCAAGTGAATATAAACTTGTGTATATAGATAAATATGTAAGCTTACATTCCCTTGCCCCTGATAACAAACAGTGAAAGGGAGGAGGCAAGAGCATCATTAACAAGGGTGGGAGGGGTTAGAAGGAGGATGCCGCACAGCTAGAAGACCTTTGAATCAAAGATCAGTTGGTTTGGCTTTGGGGGTATTTTTTTATTTCTGAATTATACAGTGTCTGCCCTCACATTACCACAGCCTTCCTATTTGTTATTGCCAAGCACGGGCTGAGTCATTTTAATAATATGCACATGGATGCAAATGTATGGAAATGATGCACCACGCAGATTCTGTGCGAAGCCTGGGCTCAGGCATGGTGGCCGTGTATGGTTGTGTGTTTTAGTGGAGTGGCTCCTTGCACATATTTTACAGTAATTACTTTCTGGATGTGCTCTGTGAGGTGACAGAAATATGTTCCACGTCATCCCATGTTATATGTGAAACGTAAAGCCATATTGTGAGATAATCAAAAGACTTCTGAGAAGGTATGTGTTGATTAATAAAGTGTTTATGGTACTTTGTTTTGGGGAAAATTGTGATAGATATTTTACAGCAACCAGAACGGAATTGAAAATATCACATTGTTATGGGAGGCCCTTCATCAGCCTGCGGGAGATTGCTGGAGAGTTTCAAGATTGCTAAAACCAGGGAATCAGACGGAGATAAGAGAGGAGAGGCGAAGAGATGTGAAGAGGGGGAAATTCAGGAAGGTGGAGGAGTGGAGGAGGGGGATTGCTGTGAGGAGTCCAGTGGTGAGGAGAGGGGGTGGGGCAAGACTCAGGCCTAAGTGTTGATTGTTCAGGAGCCAACATTAACTTGTGGTTGTTTATTTTACATATAATAGAATAGCTGAATGATGGAGTGTATTAGTTCTTTAATAATTTATAGAAATACTTTGATGTTGCAGTAATTACATTAAAGGTCACATATCAAAGGTAATTTGGGTGAGCAGCTGTGATGGTTTCTCAGAAGCAATCAATATCACTGTCCGTGGTGCTGATTTCACCAAGGGGCCTGCCAGATTAAAGAAGGCTTATTACCAGGCAGAAAGGCCCAGGGGAAATCAAGAACACACTGGAGCGACGCACTACCCTCTTTTTCCACCGATAATTAACACTGTTCACCATAATCTGTGCTAATCCTTCATACTGGGAAATCCACTGGCATTTTCCAACATCACAAAGGCAAGTTGTGCAAGTTTGGGGGAAAGGAAAGGAAGGAATGTCTGTGTGTGTCTATTTGGAGGGGGGGCAGATGAGAAAGGACAGAGGCTGGGGCTGGGGGGAAATCCAAGATGCTAGATGTTATTCAGGGCGGCAGGGCAAGGAATAGATAGGAAAAACATTGTAGTTGCAGTTTGCCGTTCCTAGAAAATGCTGCCTCGCAGACTCACCCAGGTGCAAGCAAAAATAAATAAATAAATAAAAATGGTGCTTTAAAATAGTCATTCTGATTACAGATGGTGGAACTGTTATTATTATTATTATTGTTAGTCTAGCCCCCTCCTATGAGGCTCAGGTTAAGGGACGATGCTAGGCTGTGCCAGATAAGGGACCTGATTGCCAGATAATCAGTGTTCCTGCCAGCTGAGTAGAGGGTCATGTTGACTGGCATGGTTGGGGGTAGTGGGGTAGACCATTTATTTGGGAAAACCACCCCTGAATGCCCCAGCCAGACCCTTTTTTATAAGACTCAGGGGAATAAATATGAAAATAAGAACCTGGAAAACTGGTAACCTCAGCGATTTAGGCTTTTTTCCAGACTTCAAAATCCATTAAAATCAATCCATTAAAATCAGCCTTACACCTCCCTACTGAGGGGAGGGAGGGGGAGAAAGGGGGGAGGAAAAGAGAAGGGGGAAAGGATAGTACTAACAGCAGATTCTGTTTCTCAGCAAGTTACTGAATTGGCATCTCGCCTCTAATAGGAACAAAATCTGTTGCATTTCTACCACACATACTCACGCCACCAAAGAAATTAAACATGTAGCACTGTGTCCCACCCACCCTCAGTTAGATACAGAGAAAGGAAGGTGATATTTCTCTCTGGGAGATGTAAAATACTGAAAGAAGACATATACAGGGCTGTTCTTGAAAATAGGGGCAGGTGCAGATATTACAGGCCCATCAGTGGGAACAACCTTTACCAAAAGCTGCATGCCAGCTGAGAGAGTCATTTCAGTGCCAGGGTCACAAATGGATTATGATTTCAGAGCCAGAAATGATTTGGGAAGAATGGGATTACCAAACCATGAAGCTTCATCAGAGCCTTTCCCTTGAACACAACCTTCTGCCCACATCCATGCAGGGTTACTCTACTTTGTCTCCCCTCCCTCTGCCCCTCCCTACACTGCCATCCTCTTCTATTGTCAAAGTTAGTGTTACCTCACATATCAGTTCACAGTTCAGTCTGGGGCAAGTTTTCAGGCAGTCAAGAATAAACAAACATTTTTCAAATGCTTATTATGTGCAAAGTGTTTTGGGAGTTACAAAGAAGACTGTTATTCAGGTCCTGTCCTCAGGAATCTACATTTTATTTGGGAAGGCATAAAAAACATGAACAGATGACTAACAGTACAAGGCAGTATGTTCTAAGTACCAAATGAATGGCAGAAAGGTAGCAGGCAAAGACAATAGAGGAGTGAGTCATGAAAACCTGGGTCTGAAGCCCACCATTCATACTTACTATGTGACCACTGGCAAATCATTTGGCTGTTCTGAACCTCAGTTTCCTCAGTCATAAAATTAAGGTTTTACACCTGTAGTATTTACCTCACAAGGCAATTGTGACACTCTTCTGAGATAATCTATGTAAAAGGCTTTTGCAAACCTTTAAAACATTATAAAAATATCTATTATTATTACATTATTGTGACAAATAATAGGTGCCATAAGAAAGAAAAAAAGGTAGGGTCCAGCTACATTAGTCTAAAAAGGCAACACAAAAGAGGATGAACTTTAACTAGACCTTAAGAGAACAATATTCCTTAAGGGAACAATATTACAGCACAGGGAATATGATCAAAAATAGGGTATAGGATGGATTGGGTTTGTTTTGCTTTGCTCAAGTTTGTAACAGGGTCTACTGGATGGATGTTATTCCTTCTCTATGTTTAGAGGTCTTCAGGTAGAAAGACACTACTGTCCAAGGTACTATGGGTAGCATTCCTATTTTGGAATTAGGTACTATTAAATGATAACAACAATAATAATAACAACTACTCACATTTCTATATCATGTTAAAGTTTATGTGGCATTTTATTCGTAACTACCCTATAAGAGTGGATGTGTAATTATTTTCCCCATTTTTAGATGAGAAAACTGAGGCTAACATAGATTAAGTGATTTACCCATTGTAACACAAGTGGCAGAGCTCTAGGGTTCACATGCAGGTCTCCTTATTACAAACTCAGAGTTTTCTCCACTACTTTGTTCTGCCTCCATTCTGTCACCACGTCCCTTTCCAGCTCTAGGATTCTATTAGCATCCTAAG